CTTCACTCCCTCCCCCCCCCACAAGGGCCTCCCAATGATGTGACATTGTCATCAGCCCTCATCTGTGACTCTCTTTCTACTTGGGCTGGGGAAGGGTTTTGAGTTTCCACTGAATCGTATAATGCTTCTCAGTAGATGCCTTGAAACCTTTCTGACACTTTGTTCCTCAAAATAATAGGCTCTACAGACAGAAGAAGAGGAAAATTTGTGCAGTTTATACGTGATTTTAATGAAAGCCCTGGCTCTTACAGATATTGAAAATGAGGATTTTCTCTTTGTGAAAATCCTTTAACCTTTTCCCATTTAACCTGAGGATACTCACTGTTGGTGCTTACGGCAGCAGCGTTTACCCCAGATGAAATACAATAAAATGGAAGAGCATTGCAGAATATAGTAATTCTTTCTCTCTTTTTCTTTTAGTAATTCCTGCTAGGATTAGAGACAAGTTCTGTTTAGAAATAACTTCGAGAACAGCTTTTATATTTTATTTTCACCTTTAAATAAGTCATATTTGCTTCAGCCTCAAAGAACAAGTTTTTGTAAAACTAAATGAATGCTGCACTTTTTTTTTCCTAAATGGGTAAAGGGTTAAAAAAGTCAGTGTAACAGTCTTCCCCCTAAATAAGTTGTAGAAGTGATATGTACTTATTGGGTTGTATTGACTCAACGTGTCTCAGAATCTCTCCATGGATTTTAGGCATACAGAAATATCTTTTCAACAACCTGCCCTTCTAGGTAGATTTTAGCTGAGCATATTTATTCCTCCCTCTTGGGGAATGCCACCCTTTCTTGTATGAGGGGGGGAAAATGCTGATGTAATTGCCCTTGGCCTTTCCAAGAGCCAGTCCCAGTGCAAAATTGTGATAGTGTTATTGACTTATCACATTCCACTTCCTACAACTTCCTTTTAGTATTCAGAAAATAAGCATCTCTCTAGTCTATGTTTCTTTGAACAATTGACTTATCTTGTGGACACTGTAACTATAACTGATTATATGTTTGTTTTTATCTGAGCCACTAGAAGGCTCAGATAAAATGTATGGCAAAAGAGATACATATATGGACGCTAAGCTTGTCCTTGGCCTCATCTTAATATTCTTCAGAACAAGGCATAGGCCGGGTGCAGTGGCTCAAGTCTGTAATCTCAGCACTTTGGGAGGCAGAGGCGAGAGGATCACCTGAGCTCAGAGGTTCGAGACCAGCCTGAGCAACATGGCAAGAGCTCATCTCTACAATAAATCAAAAAATTAGCCAGGCAGAGCAGCACATGCCTGTGGTTCCAGCTACTTAGAAGGCTGAGGCAGAAGGATCACCTGAACCCCATAGGTCGAGGCTGCAGTGTCCGTGAGCATGCCACTACACTCCAGCCTGAGCAACAGAGTAAGACTCCGACTCAAAAAAAAAAAAACACAAGGCTTCAGTTAAAGAAAATAAATAGATTATCCCCTGCTGCATACTGTTTAGGGGGGTCAAATCATGTGATTCATTCATTCATTCCTCAATACCTTCCCTTCCAGGCGACCACAGATTTGTATGGCAACTGTACTCTGAGGCATTCTGGGACATCCGCGGCTGCTCCTGAGGCCGCCGGCGTGTTCGCACTGGCTTTGGAGGCTAAGTATGTTTCCAGCTCTGGGCCCAGGCCGGGCTCTGCAGGGTGGACTAACACATGTCTCTCTGCCCATTTACCAGATGTCCATGGAGGCAAAAGTGGATGTGAGAACTGTGAATAGTCAGGGCCAATGAACTCTGCTGGGCATTTAAGATGACCTCTGCTTGGGCCCTGAAGGACACACACACACACACACACACACACACACACACACACACACACCATAAAACCACATCCCTGAGAGAGCTCAACATCCAACAGCATGTATAAGCAACTTACTCAGATACCCAGTGGGGGTGCACAGATACTTCTTCATGAAATTCACCCCTTTATCCTCTGGGTCTTCCATACAATCAGATACAAGAAGAAACATCAAATTGCCAAGCTGAGTACTTACATAGTATTTCAGAACACATGGCAAGCAGAGAGCTCCCACTCAAGATTTGTTCATTCATGAGGTAAATTCACTATTTAATTTTCACTGTTATTAAATTATTAAATTCACTAAGCACTATTATTAAATTATTAAAATTCACTATTCACTCACCCACACTGAGACGAGGTAGGCAGAGTCATACAGTATAGACAACAATGAGGCTTGCTGGGAAACCATCCAAGCTGCAGGTAAGAGGAGACCCTTCCCTGTGATGTCACCATCTCACAGAGAGGCCACATATTGCTACTACTGGACTCACCTTGGATTGGGCAGCAGTTACCTGCCCACCTGTACTCTGTCTTCTCCTAGTAAGAGTCTGCACTTATGTTTAAGGAGTGGACACATGGGCATCAGACACCACGTGCATGGTATGAGTATAGATGACAGCTGTGCCAGGAGTTCCCAGAGAAAACAGTACCCAGCAACTTGTGAGAAGTTAGATTCAGGTTCTGGGGAAGTGGAATCGAGGTCTCCATCCCTGTCAGCAGTTGCTAGGCAATCAGTGTTTCCAGCATCAATCTCTAGGCAGCCCTGCTTCTCTGAGTCTAGGTCTCACTCTGTTGCCCAGGCTGACGTGCGGTTGCATGATCATGGCTCATCACAGCCTCGACCCCCTGAGCTCAGGCAATCCTTCAGCCCAAGTAACTGAGACTACAGGCACGTGCCACCATGACTGGCTAATTTTTAGACTTTTTGTAGAGAAGAGGTCTTTCTATGTTGCCCAGGCTGATCTTGAACTCCTGGGATCAAGCAATCCTCCTGCCTCAGCATCCCAAAATGCTGGAATTACACGCATGAACCACCACACCCAGCCTCTCTCGCAACTCTCTGATTTGCAAAAGAGGCAAGAGTTGGTTCCTAGAATAGGAAGGAACTTTGAAAGTTGATCTAGTTCAATCTTCTGCCTTCACAGAAAAAAGGGCATTACCCTCCTTTTACAGATAAGACCCCAAATTGGGAGTGATTCCCCTCTTTGGGTCAGTCTAAATTTTGATTCTTCTAGTAAAAGTCAGGTGGAAACTTTAGGACATCAAGAAACAGATACTGGTCAAAGCTTAACGATTAAGCACAGAGACCACAGCACTACTAAGCACCGAAACCAAAATGTATTCGCAAGTGATGTGCATTTGGTCTTGAAGGGGATGAAGAGTATGCCAGCTGCTCCCAAGTAGAAGGGGGTTTCGGCCTCTCTTATCTTCCAAGTTGCTCGGGCAGAAAGGGAGAAGAGTGGAGCAGACAAACACATGAGATGATGTTTCGTCCCCCTAGAAGCTTCACTCCCCACCCCAAGTGCTGTCCAGTGGTCAGCATTGTCCTCAACCCTCATCTATGACTATCTTTTCACTTGGGTTGAGGAAGGGTCTTGGGTTTTTAACATTAAGTGCCTTTAATTTTCCCTGATACTTTGTTCCGCAAAATAACAAACTCTCTTGAGAATCCTACAGGCAGAGGAAGAGGAAGAATTTCTGTGGTTTATACATGATTTTAATGAAAACCCTGGCTCTCACAAACACTGAAAGTGAGGTTTTTCTCTTTGTGAAGTCCCCTAAAGCTCAGTTTCCCTGTCTCCCCCACTAAATAAGAGTGCCCTTGGGTTGTCTGGACTTGACATGTCTCAGAATCTCTCCATAGATTTTAGATGCAGAGAAAGTTTTTTTTTTTTAAAGCCTGCCCTTCTAGGTAGACTTTAGCTGATAATGTTTATTCTTCCCCCTTTGGGAATGCCACTCTTTCCTTCATAAGGGGGAAAACAATACTGAAGATGAAACCATGCATCTGAATGGACCCTGGAGTCTAAGCTGGCTTTGCTCTCTCCAGCTGTGAGCAGACAAGCAGGAGAGCCTGCTGCCACCTGCTGAGGTTCACAGGGACAGGGAGCAAGGGTGCTCCAAAAACCAAGAGGGTTTCTAGTTCCCCTTTCAACTTCAGGGGGCAGAACTTGACTCACAGTCTCCTGAGATTTTGGCAACAAAAAGTCCTGCTAGGGTGCATAGACATACCAAGGGACAATCTTACTAGGTCAAAGTAATAGAGTGAAGTTGCTGGATCCCTGCAGAGATTCATGGCTGTACCTCGACTTCCTCATTCTTCCAGCACACATGTGTGGATATCCTGCTGAAAAGAATGCAGTCATCCCAGAGGCACACTTTGTCCTGGAGCAATGGTCATGAATTCAATGCTCTCTATCGCCATAAAGAGGGAAAAACTTGATACCTCACAGGAGCTAGCCCTAAAGTTCTTCAGAACACCAACTGCCTGAGGTTGGAAGCAGACCCTGAGATGAGATTTAGGGCAAGTGATTAAATAAGAAAGCACTCCCAGGAAAGACCAGCAAGAAGTGGAGGGAGGAAGTTAGGGATGGGAAGAATTCAAGCAATGGCCCAGGTTCAGGAGACATTCTGGCCCCAGCCTAATCCCAAGATATGCCGCGGAGTGTGTTCTACCTCCAGGCCAGGGAGATGGGCCTTCTCATTCTTGTGCAAGTCAGTCACTGAGTGAAAGCCACCCTGGGGACATCAACTCCAAGATGCCTCTGGCTTTCTTCCCCTGTAAGCAAAGTGCTCCAATAGCCAAAAGTGAAAACTGTGAGTCAGGAAGAAATACCCCAAGAAACAGCCCAGATGGAGGAGTGAAAGGCTTTCCATAGAACAGTCCTCCAGCTCATTGCTCGCTTATCTTGACATAAGGCGACAAAGTATCCTCAATGATGTGTATGACAACAAATTATCTAAACGTATGCCCATCAGGATCTTGAAAGAGAGAAAGAATAAGGTCCACCCTTCCACCATGACTCCAGGGGAGAAAAAGGAATCCCCTTCTCTCTCCTGATGCCGTTACTTTTTTAATCTTGTAAAGTGATTTTCTGTCAAATGCTTGAAAATGCCTACTTGAGTACCAGGGAGTATTGCTCACATCTCCCAATGTGACAAATGTTGAGAAAGTTCAAAGAATTTCTTTAGTATGGGTGACCGCAACCTTCAAATGTTTAGATTTCTCTCATATGACCTAGAGTTTTCTGTGTGGTTCTCCAGGGCTGAGCTAGGCTTGAGAGGTAGATGCCATAAGGAGACAAATTTGGGGCTCAAGAGAGTCATCCAGAATAAAATGACCCACACGTTCGACTAGAATAATATTTCCAAAACTGACCTTCCAGGGGAGGAATCTATTATGTAAACTCTTTATTGAAGTATAGCATACATGAAGAAAATCATTACTCTAGCGCCATGAAATTTTAGAACAATGAACAGACCCATGCAACCAGCACTCAAATCAAGAAACAGACCATTATTACCCTTTTGCTTAACATTCTGTCTGAGAGATTCTTCCATGTTGTTGTGTGTTGTTATAGGTTATTCATTGTATAAATAGATATTTAGATGGTTTCTACTCTGGGGCTATTGCAAATGATGTTGCTAAGAACATTTTTGTACATGTCTTTTGGTGAACATTCTGATGCATTTCTGTATCTAGTAGACTCTGCCAAATGGTTTTCCAAAGTGGGTGTGCCCATTGATCTTACCTGGAGCAGTATATGAGAATTACAGATGCCCCATGTTCTTGCCAAAATTCAACATCATTAGTTGTCTATGTTTTAGCCATTCTTATAAGTATGCAGTGGAATTGCATTATAGTTTTAATTTGCATTTTTCTCATAACTATTAAAGTTGAGTACACTGGGGAGAGTTTTCAAAAAGCTACATTCCCAAGGCCCACTCAAGATTCATGGACTACAAATCTCTAGGGATGAATGGCCCTGGAAATATGTAAGCAGGTGACCTGTCACTGGTCTGTGAACTGGGGTGTGTGGATGACCGATAAGACAGGGGCTCTGTGAGCCTAAGACTCAAGGTGATGTAGTGCAGAGTGTGGATAACTGGACTCTGTCTCTGAGTAGATGTTAGTATTAGGTCAAGATTGAATTTGTCTGCAAATAACAACAACTAACCTGACAAGGGTGTTTTTTTTTTCTTTTCCTGACGTGAAAGATAATACCAAGATAAGGAACCTAGAGTGGTTGGGCATGCCACTGTGAATCAAAGAATCCAGCTTCTCCAGTTTTCTGCTCTGCCAATTTCATGGTCTCTGAATGTGCTCGAGCTCCAGCCATTGTGTTTACATTCCAGACAGGAAAAGGGGCAAAGGACAAAGAAAAATTCCACCAGCTGAGTCAGCCATGTTTAAAGGGTTTCTCAAAAGTTCCACCCAGTGGCTTCTGCTTATTTCTCATTGACCAGAACTGTCACAAGACCATACCACACTGCAAAACAGGCTGGGAAATGTAGTTTTATAGTTAAGCACATTGCTGTTCTGAATAAAATTAAGGTTTTCTTAATACGGAAGGAGGAAGGCTAGATATGGCAGGAAAGACAACTGACAATGTCTTTCAGCATCTAAATGGACAATTACTCACCTTCTTATGGATCTCTAGTGTCTCATCTGCAAAATATAAAATTAGATTAGCAATAAGGTTCAAATGACTTCCTGTAATATATTAGCTCTGTTTCAGAAATATTATATTTTTTATTGGATGTGCAGTGATTTTAAAGCTGACTATGCCTTAAAATTGAAAAACACTTATTTGCATACTTTGAAATACTGTAACCATTATTTTGCTTGAGAAATATTGTCTATTCGCTTCTAATTTACTTCAATTTCTAATATGTGAGACCTATTTTATTATTAATATTAATAAATGCTTGCTGGGTATGGTGGCTCACACCTGTAATTCCAGCACTTTAGGAGGCAGAGGTAAGAGGATTGCCTGAGTTCAGAGATTCAAGACCAGCCTGAGCAACTTGGAAAGACCTGGTCTCTACAATAAAATAAAATAGCATTAATAATGAATGCTTTACTCAGTGCCCAGCAATGTTCTAGGCCCTTTATATACATGATCTACATTTATACTTTGCAATGAGCCTGTGAGGAGTTTGGGTTGTTAAGATAAATTCAAGTTCACACAGTTGGATTTAAATCTCAGGGTGTCTGGGCTGTAATGCTGGGATCTTTTCTTAGCCTCACTAGTGGCCGTTAGAAGATGCCCTGCCACCACCTTGGCTGAGGGTCTCCCCACTCATTCTGTTCATGCCAATGGGCCTCAGTGAGTGAATTCACTCTTCCTCAAACATGATGTGCAAAATCAGTTTTCACTTACTTTGAGATGAGATTCTCCACACCACAACCACACCAGGTGTCAGGTAAACTGAATTTTCCTTCACATTTAATAGAAGGTGGAAAAACAAAGACTGTGGAAAGAACAGAAGCTTGACTCATGAATTCATTGTTTTTCTTAGATGGGAAATAATTCAGACCTTTGAAATTATTTTTTAACCTTGTCAGAGTTTAGAGAATAGACTCTGAATTTTAAAGATGGAAGAAAACAAATAGGTCTTTTACTATTCCAAACGTCTCTTGTGGATGAAGAAAACAAGACCCAGAGAAATAAAAAAAAATGTGCTCAGGTTCACACACTTTGCATTGTTCAGCTAAAGATCAGATCCGATAAATAAAGGGATTAAAATACTCTTGTTGGCTTCCAAATTTACCAGATGTTAGTAGAAGTCATTCCTCTACCCTTAAAACTGCAACATCTTTCAAACATTTCAGTTTTCAATTTTGCTAAGGATGCATATGCTCTCCTTAAATTCCCTTTGCTGCCTTGATAATTAGGAGGAAAATGTTAATTGGGTTCAGGGGAACTTGATTATGTAAATAGAAGTACTATACTCCGAAAGAGAACGTTTTCTTGCAAGCAGGAAAAACTCGTCTATGCGGTTAGAAGTCAGGTTCATGGTTAGACACTTCCTCAGAGACCTCTGCTGACCCCTGGACCAGAGTTTCTCAAATTTTCCGATGATCAGAATCTCTGGAGTGCTTGTTAAAAACACAGATACCCAAGCCCACCCCAGATCCACAGTCAGAATCTCCAGGGCAGTGCCTAGAAAGCAATATTTTTCACAAGTGCCCCCAAGTTCTCCTAGCGTTGTCCAGGAAGTTAGGAAGCGCGCCCCTGGGCCAGGTTTGCTCAAGCTAGACTGCACTTTGAAAACACCAGATGGTTGGCTGCATGCAAGGAATCAAAACCTCTGAGCCCTGACATCATTACTTATTTTAAAACTATCCCCAGATGCTTCACATGGACAGAAAAGGTTGAGAACCACCATCTTAAACCAATGTTCTCAAACATCAGTGTGCAGAAGAATCGTTTGACTTAAATGTAGATTCTCAGGCTCACAACTCCAAGATACTGATTCAGGAGAGCTGAGGACCTAAAGATGTCACCAGTGACCAAATGGTTCTGACACAAGGGTGTGAGGACCACAGTGAGAATCTCTGACTGACGCAGGGCTCCAGTGATGTCTCCCTCAGCATCCCGAGCTAAAGGGACAGCCTTCGCTTTCTCAATATTGAGTTATCCATCTAGTCTAGTCCCCTAGGCCGCAGGCTCTGTGAGGGCAGACACCACCCTATGACATGCCAAGAGTCAGGGCCGTGCCTGAAAGTGGTGGATGCTCAGTAGACACCCATGGAATCACTTCACCGTGCGAACCTTTTCACGTATCATCATTTTATTTTCCCAAGGATTATGTGAAACATTTGAGGATGGGGAAGAATGTGTCACGCTCCTTGTCCTACAACCTCCAACACAGTGATCTTTATATTGCAGATACACTAGATTTCTTTGTTATGATTTAATAACTGTCACCTGTGATCCTTGATCTGCTATGGTGGGATTAAAGCTTAAAGCAGGTTAAGGAAATACCTATTTTACAGAAGAATGTATTCTCGTCAGTTCTGAAGTTGCTTAGAAGGAGAAATAAGGAAGAATATGATTTTATTTTCCAGAAATAAGCAAATAGCTGGTCAAACAGGGTACAAACTCATTTACACTGGAGTGTGGACTATGCTCTGACTTATCTCAGAAGTGAGATTCCTTGTTCTGACACATTCTCTCTCTCTCTCTCTCTCTCTCTCTCTCTCTCTCTCTCTCTCTCTCTCTCTCTGTGTGTGTCTCTACTCCTTACCCTCCTCTCCCTCCCCCTCCCCCCTCTCTTCTGGTCTCCCTCCCTCCTCTCTCTCTCCTCCCTCCCCTCCCCTCTCTCCTATCCCTTCCTGTACCCTCCCTTCCCCCTCTCTCGGATCTCATGAGAATAAATCTGTGGAAAAACATTTGAAGGAGTCCCACTCCAAGCATCAGGAAACATAGCACATTTTCATGACAAAGATAAGAAATGAGACACCAACTATCCAGCCCTTGGGTCATTCAGATCCTCATTTGTCAACACTTCTGGAATTAATAAATTCAGAATTCCATTCCAGCAAAACACTGAGTTTTTAGCCATAATCAACTCTAGGAACTTCCACAGCGTTTTTTCAGGGCCTAGGGGACCATATGTCCAAGATATGTTCTGAATCTCCTCAGATAAGCATTGACCTTCCTTGGAACTTTCTTCGTAATAGACAAATGTCTGCATTTTGAGAGCATATAAATCATTAGAACATTTGACTCTGATTCACATCTTCAAACCAATGAACTTGGAATGCACTGAGGTTTTATCAAATGAGTTACATTGTTCCTAGTCCTTTGAATTGTTTGACTTCTGAAGAGAATTGTAGTCCAGGGTTTTGCCAACCTTTTGAGCAGAATCCTCATTTTCACACACACACACACACACACACACACACACACACACACACACACACACCAAGGAAAAAAATTTCCTATAGTACGTGCAGTGCACACTGTTATTTTTTTCTGTTCTATTTAATTCGTTTATTAATGATAGTCCCACCCATTAAATCATTAGTTCTCAGCCTTCGCTGACTACTGGAATGATATTGGAGGTGTTAATAATTTCCAATGCCTGGGTCTCACCCCCAGAGGTTCTGATCGACTTGCCCTGGGATGAGGCTCAAGCAGTGGTATTTTAAATGCTCCTATGAGAAGATTTTAATGTACCACCTAGTTAGATCATCTATGCAATAAGTTGATTTCCTAGCCTACAAACAAGTCATGACTTACAGCTTGAAAAACACAGATAATGAGTAGTTATAGACACTAATTTCAAAAGCAAGAGCATTTGTAAGCAGACCAGTTGATTTACAGATCAAACAGTGTACTAAAGACTGTCCTGGACACTGAGGATACAAAAATGCTAAAGATATTTTCTCTACCCCTGAAGAACTGATAGCTTCATTTTCAAAAATGGAGCAAACCCATGCAGCCACACCCAGATCAAGAAACAGCAAGGCCAGCACCCAGGAGTTTCTCCATGTCCCTTTCCAGTCACTATCCCCCAAGACTAACCAATAATCTGACTTCCAACAGCACAGATTTGTAGTTCTTGTTTTTAGAGTTTAAACTAATGGAACCCTACAGTCCATTCTCTTTTCTGTCTGGCTTCTTGAGGTCAATGTTGTATTTGTGAGATTGTTCCATCTTGTTTAGAATCTCTGTAGTTCATTCACTCTCATTGGTGTAAAGTATCCCACATTCCATAAGTTGGTTTATTCATTCTACTGAAAATAGGCATTTGGGGATTCCACAGTTTGGGACTATGAGCATTCTAGAGTATTTCTGATGAATATATGTGCATTTTGTCAGGTACATACCTAGAAAAGGAATTTCTGGACCATAGCTTAGGCATATGGACAATCTTAGAAGATACAACCAAACAGTTTTCCAAAGTGTTTGCAAAAATTTGCACACTTATCAGCAACATACACAAGTTCCAGTTGCTCCACAGCTTCATCAACACTTAATATTATCAGTCTTTTCATTTTAGCTACTCCTGTGTGTGTGTGTGTTAGAATGCTCTTTTGAAATAAATATGTTTAAGTAAAAAAGGAAAGAAGAATTTTTTTAACAGAAATATATAAAGGTTCTGAATAGTGCATGGACACCCTCCCTGGAATTGGGGTTTCACATATGTTCCAGAATCTTACAAGGGGTCTGTGTCCTGGGTGTTTTGTATCTTAGTCTTTGTGTCTCTCTCCCTCTCTTGCCCTACCTCCTGTCCCTGCCCTCCTGTTCTCTGCCTCCTGTATCCAGCTTGGGTCTGACCTGGCGAGACATGCAGCATCTGACTGTGCTCACCTCCAAACGAAACCAGCTTCATGACGAGGTCCACCAGTGGCGGAGGAATGGAGTCGGCCTGGAGTTTAATCACCTCTTTGGCTATGGGGTCCTGGATGCAGGCGCCATGGTGAAAATGGCTAAAGACTGGAAAACTGTACCCGAGAGGTTCCACTGTGTGGGAGGCTCCGTGCAGGACCCTGAGTAAGTGGGGGCAGTGGTCCTACTGCTACATGTGGAAGGTGCCTCAGAGTTGGCTCATGGAAGTGGCAATAGTATCAGAGTCCCTCTGTGTGCCAGGGGCATGCACCGAATTTGATTTAGGATCAGCCAGCTTTCAGGCAGAGCTGTAGGGTTGCACAACTGCAGGGAGTGCTATTTACACAGATCACAGTTGTGTAACTCAGAATCCCTTAAGTGTTTCCATGACTTAGGCCATTATTTATAGGTGCACAAGTCAACCAGGACCTAAATCAGTAAACAGAACATGATTAATGTCCCAGAAAGCCCCCAGTGTCCCCTGCCATCATCATCCCCCCAGAGTAACCACTGTTCTTACTTCTAACTCTGTAGCTTATTTTGCCTGTTCTATACTTTATATAAATGGAATCATATACTGCATTCTTTTTTTTTTTTTTTGAATTGGAGTCTCACTCTGTCGCCCAGACTGGAGTGCAATGGCCGCTCCCGGCCACCGCAGCCTCGACCTGCTGGGCTCCGGCGATCCTTCTGCCTCAACCTTCCGAGTAGCCGGAATTGTAGGCATGCGCTACCACACCCGGCTGATTTTTTGATTTATTGTAGAGATGAGGTCTCGCTGCCCAGGCGGGTCTCGAACCCATGGGCTCAGGCAATCCACTCACTTCAGCCTCCCAAAGGCGCGGGATTACAGGCTGAGCCACCGAGCCCGGCTTGTATTCTTTTTTATATCTAGATTCCCCTGCTCAAATTTATGTTTGTGAGCTTTAATCCTGTTTAGTGTATACTTGCAGTTTACTCTTATTGATGGAGAGTGTTCCAGAGTGTGACTATGACACAATTTATTTATTCATTCTACTTGTGGGATAATGTAAGGACTTGGTTTTATTCTGAATGAAGTGGATTGCCATTTGGAGAAATTTGAATAAGGGCTTCCCCCTGAAGAAACCATTGGGCTGGTCAAGTATGCTTATTTCCCTTTCCCGTCTTGACAAGAGGATTTTTCAGTAAGAATAGTATCTTATTTCATGTCTCTCTATCCTCACTGGTTCATCAGTAAGATACAGATAGCAATTATTATTATTATCATCACTGAGATATTATTCACATACCATGAAATGCATACAACTTAAGTATTATTTGAGTTTTGATAAATGTACACATTCAGGTAAGCTACCACCCAATCAAGGGATGGAACATTCCATTGACCCAGAAAGATTCCTCATGTCCCCTTCCAGTTAGTCCCCCACCTTGTAGACAACCATTACTTTTATTCCTCTCACTATAGCTTGGTTTTACCAGTTCTTGGACTTCATCTAAGTGGAATCATATGGTCTGGATGCCTTGGTGTCCAGTTTCTTCTACTTAACATTAGGTTTATGAGATTCATCTGAGTTATCACATATAGTTAAAGCTCATTCATTCTCATTTCTGTGTAGTATTCCATTGTGAGAATACTCCCCATGGCTTACGTTGTTTAAATGGTTAAATTCATCCTCTGCCCTGGTCTTATTTTCATTGGTCATTGAGCTTGACCGGTGTCCAGCCCCTCTCAGACTGTCCTCTTGGTCATTTTCCTTTGGCCCTAGGTTCTCTGCAGCTTTTGCAGTCAGTTGCCCAGACCTGAATGCGAGTCTTGACTTCACCAACTTAGACAATACTTTTGACCTTTCTGACCCCCTGTGTTAGCAATGCTCATCTTTGTGCCCTGTCCTCCTTTGGCAGTATGGTAAAGTCTATGGACCCCCATATCAACAGAATGTTCTCTAAATCCACAACATGAAATACACAGAATTATAAAGGAAGCTAACTGTATTTAAAAAAACAGTTACAAAAATGCTTTTAAAGACACATTTGTGGAAGTAATATATGTTATTTTGCTGATATATTAAGTAAAAAGCTCCAGTGGCAAGTCTACTGGCCACAATAATTTCAGAGCAGTGATGATGACCAAACGTTCCTGCAAGATCCATGCAGTGACTATAATGGGATATGACAATCTCTAGATTCTTTGGTGGCAAAGTCTGAGGAAGTACTAATGCCACTCTGCTTTGTGGCCTGCAGTCATAATCGAAAAGGAAGCTTAGTTTCTATTATAGGCAGTGAAAATTAGGATGTAAGAGTTTTTCCCATCTAAATTATTAGACCCATGAATTCTGTCCTAATGGACACCAAAGCAAGAGACCCTTCTTTCCCTCCTCACCTGTAAAATGAAACTAAGGTCTCTTTCCTCACCAGACTGCTAGAAGACTTTAACAACACACAAGTGTAAAACTGGAACACAGTAGGAACTTAATAAATGTAACTTTGTCTCTCCCTCTCATCCATTACTTTAAGCACTCCTAGTTCATACCTGTGAAAAAAGAAAGATAATAATCTCCTAGAGTTTGGGGTGAAATAATTGCCTGGTTCTTACACAAATTCAAAATTGTGTATCCCAGTGGCCTAAAGTATCCTCCCATGGGCCTGCATGTGCTCTGAGTGCACATCTTCCCATGGGCCAGCATCTTCCCATGGTGACCACCCTCCAATAGGAGACTATCATCTCACAGGTGAGCATTATCCCATAGGACAGCATCATCCAACTAGAAAGCATTCTCCCATGGAAAGCAACACCAACCCACAAGAGAGCATCATCCCACAGGAGACCATCATCCCATAGGGAAGCATCCTTCCATAGAAGAGCAACATCCCATAGGAGAGCATCCTTCCATAGGAGAGCATCATCCCATAGGAGAATATCTTCCCACAGAAGAGCGTCACTCCATCTGAGAGCATCACTCCATAGAAGAGCTTCTTCCCATAGGAAAAGCATCATCTCCCAGGAGAGCATCCTCCCATGGTAACCACTCCTCCATAGGAGAGCATCCTCCCACAGGAGAACATCCTTCCCTAGGAGAGCATTCTACCATAGGACAGCCTCTTCCTGTGGATGAACATCCTCCCACAGAAAAGCATCCTCCCATAGGAGAGCATCCTCCTATAGGATAAGAGCATCTTCCATAGGAGAGCCTCTCCCTTGGATAAACATTCTCCCATAGGAAGCATTCTCCCATGGTAACCATTTTTTCATAGGAGAGTACCCTCCCATAGGAGAGCACCCTCCCATAGGAGAGCATCCTCCCATAGGAGAGCATCCTCCTATAGGATAAGAGCATCTTCCATAGGAGAGCCTCTCCCTTGGATAAACATTCTCCCATAGGAAGCATTCTCCCATGGTAACCATTTTTTCATAGGAGAGTACCCTCCCATAGGAGAGCACCCTCCCATAGGAGAGCATCCTCCCATAGGAGAGCATCCTCCCATGGTATCCACTCTTCCCCAGGAGAGCACCCTTCCATAGGACCACATCCTCGCATGGTGACCACCCTCCTTTAACTGAGCATAATCCTACAGGCTCCCATGGATGACCTCCTATGAGCAAGCATCTTCCCATGGGCAAACATTCTTCTTGTTCACTCACTGAGTCCATAGAAAGTAGCACCAAATAGTTTACTGCAGAGCTGTGTGGTTTTTCTGTGAACCAGTCCATGATTGTATAAGGCCTCACTCCAATCAACACTGCTTGGAAAAGTAAAGCTTCAGCCCAACCCTGTAATAACCTCAAAACACAGAACCGCACAACTCCCAAGTGATGTTACCGACGTTCTACAATAAAAATAGCTACTCTGCAGACTTCCTCACAGTTTTCCCAAAGCTGCATGTCCACACACCCTTTCCATTCATCCTCCTAACCCTCCTCTTGGTAAAGCAGGCTTCACTGAGCTCCAAACACACTGACGGATGTAGTTAAGGTCACAGAGACTGTAAGTGAAACTGAAGGAAAGAACTAACTTTTTTTTTTTTGAGTCGGAATCTCACTCTGTCGCCCAGGCTGGAGTGCAGTGGCATGCTCACAGCCACTCCAGCGTTGACCTGCTGGGCTCCGGCGATCCTTCCACCTCAGTCCTCCAAATAGCCGGAACTACAGGCGCGCACTACCACACCTGGCTAATTTTTTTATTTATTGTAGAGACGAGGTCTCGCCAAGTTGCCCAGGCTGTTCTTGAACCCGTGGGCTCAGGCAACCCCATCGCCTCAGCCTCCCAAAGTGCTGGGATTACAGGCTTGAGCCACAGCGCCCAGCCGGAACTAACTTTTATTGAGCGCCTACTACGCATCATGCGCTTTCCACACACATTAGCTTCCTAGCCTCCCCATTGTTGAGGGTGACCTTAAACTTACATGTCAGAGGTATGAATGTGTTGCAGCATTAACAACAGACTAGACTCATGCTGTGTCTTTGGGGCAGTTGGGGGCAGAGGGTTGACGCACCTACTGTGTGCCTGGTGCTTGCTGGGTCTTTTACAGTCACTGTATTTGATCCTCTAAGCTCAGGAGGTGTGTCCTATCATTGTTACCTTTTACCAATAAGGAAAAATGTGCTCAAGGCCACAAATGACAGAGCAGGATTTGACAAAAAAGCCCATCTGAATCCAAATCCTGGGCTCTTTTCACTACATGATCTTGACCATAGTCGATGTCCATGGAGAACAAGCCCCTCCATTAGGCCCTATGCCAGAGCAGCCCTGCTGTGAGCTCATAGTGTCATTGCAGTCAAGGGGAAGCTGGGAAAGGAGAAGGGCACACCAGAGGTCACCCAGTTCCTGAATGGCCCAACTGGGGTGGGGATGGGAGTTCCAATTAACCCTCCCCTAGGGACTCTGAAGCACCCACCTAGTGGGTGGCCCCACCTTCTAGACTCCATAACTGCCATTCCGGAAGCCCTGTCACTGCCAGGGTCTACCATGTCTTCTGGGAGTGACTAACCAGAGAGGCAAGACTGGAAAGCACAGTCCAAATGGTGAATTTAAGGCTAAGCCCTGCTTACCTTGACACACTTTACCCAAAGTCAACATTAAGTGGGCATGGATGACTCTTTCTCTTGTTAGAGTTCAGAATAATTTCTTGAGATATTTGGAAGGGCAGAGACTTTCTGCAGTGGTGAAAATATTATCTATCTGCAT